GATGACGTGGCAAGCCAAAAACAACTGAAAATAACACTATAGTTTTGGAGGTTTTTTACTTCATTTGAATAGGGTTTTCGGAGGTATTTTACTCCTTTTACTCAAGTTGAATAGCCCCATAAATTTTGGAGTGGAGAGAAACAGAAAGGTCACGTTTTTATGCCAATTAATTGTGAAAATTTTCACTCCAGAAAAAAGACATGCCTTTTTTCTGGAGTTCATTTCAAAACCATTGAATTTTGAAGATTAGTTAATTTGGTAACAATGCTGTAGAACTTTACAGAACAATCCAAAAAAAAACAAATCATTCAGAAGTTTCGTAATTTCCTCCAGAATATTCTTATTTCCAGAATATTCCTTTCCAGAATATTTCTATTTAATTTGAAAATAAATTGACATCCAAATTTTCTCGTGCTCCAAAAGAATGCAATACGTCTGTATACTAGGTAAGTGTGGAAACCCCAAAGAAATTCAAAATATTTTTTTCAGTAAAACATACGTTTCACTTGAGTCATACTCCACTGAAAGTAAATTTATTGCTTTTGAATTGGCGATGAAATTTCTGATTGAAATGTTCGAGTGCTCAGTTAATGGTTTTTATTGTGACCCGAAACTATTCAAATGCAAAACGGATAAATCGGATATTGACTCGTATAACTTTCCTGGGAAATCCAATGGTCGGCTGAAATTTTCTGGACAGACACTTCACACCTCGGTCTAACTGAAAAAAAGATCGAAAAGTTCGTAGCAAGCTTCGTTCTGTTTTACCGTTGCGAAAAACTCAAACTTTCCTATTTTCAGTGCAAATTAGTACAGAAAACAGTGAATGGATATTTAAAAGAATGCGGAGTTTGCTACGAATTTTCTTTTGGTTTTCTAGTGTTTTTATCAGTTAGACCGAGGTGTGAAGTGTCTGTCCAGAAAATTTCAGCCGACCATTGGATTTCCCAGGAAAGTTATACGAGCCAATATCCGATTTATACGATTTCAGTTGATTTTCTACTTCCTCAAAAACAGTCAATTCCGAATGAATTTCTTAGGCGCAAAGTTAAACGACTTAAAACGTCCCAATAAGCTATTTTATGATCAAAAATGTCAAGAAATAGAACGAGAAATAGGAAATCCGAAAAGTGTCTTATCATTTTGGGACAGCTGATTTTTCGATTTTTTGACCGTATGGACGTAGTTTAGGTAGTGGGTTTCTGAAAATATGGGCCCGGGGGTTTTTTGGGATGAGAAACACATTGGCATCAGCCATTTTTCACCAAAAATTCCAGTTCGTCCAATAATGTATTTTTAGGGGGGTGTCTTATATATATATGGCGCGCACTGTAGTTCAGATTGAATGAATTGAATAATAGGAGTGGGTGTAGTGGTTCAAATTGGGGGTGGTTCCATTGATGTAATAGGTAGCACTCAGGTTTTTAGTTGAATCCTGCGACGAACTGAAGTTCGCGAATGAACAAAATTGATGAATAGCGCACGATTTTGTTCTTCTACTCGGTAGGGACTTCCATGTCAGATAGGAAGATGCATGCGCTTTGCATCTCTCTGATTATCTTGTATGTTAGTTGAAGTTCATGGGAATAATATATTTTATTTCCGGTACGAGACAGAGCGGGCTATTGCTAGCCCCCTCTGCTACCGGTGCGTACGCATAGAATGAAATTCAAAAGGGAGAAAAAGGGCGGGTCGCGCCCGATATCAAACACATTGCAACAGATGGTAATTAATCTTCTTCAATGTGAGATGACAGATAGCCACAGGGTAAATATCACCCTGTGACAATATGTAATTTCAGTTAATTTAATAGAATTTTCAGAATATTTAGTTACATTGATTTTTCCGAAGGGCTGGAAGTCGTTCGTCATGATGGCATGAAAGCAACTATTTATGTCAAAGGAAGGGATTTTCTATTCTGCATCTGGCATGACCAATAGGAGGAATTACTAATTTACTTTATATTCTAATTTACTTTATATTCCAAGATGCTCATCCACATTGGATCTGCATTCTCTTGCTCCTATACTTTTTTGAAGTTATTCCTCCACCTAATTTATATACTCAAATGTGGATATTTAGACTTAATAATGAATTTTTGAGCTGAAAAATCCACATTCAAGCGTAAATTGCTCAATTTTTCGTCCAAAAACCCTATTTTCGTTTCGAAAAAATCAATTTTTTTCGCCTCGTTCTTTCTGGAACTCGAAAGTTCATACCATTAATTTTTTTAGCGCGAAAGTCTATTGACAGGTCCAAAAATCTATTGTTCAGCTTGAAAATCATTTTTCATTTTTCAATGAGAACTCTAAGCGGAGCCGCGGCTATTGTGGTTGCACCCGGGAGCACCTGGCTTTCCCTTTAAGCGAATTGTACGGATTTCATGTGACTGCACCCGGCCTAGCACGCATGCGCGCTATCCCAAAAAACTTGAAAATCGCGTTGTTACAGGCGATTGGAGACCAATTTTAGGCTCAAAATTCCCCTAAATTTCAACATTCCAGGCCATCTACACCCTGGAAAACACGCGTTCCCCGCCACCGGTCCTTTTGAACGACGTCGTGTTCGCCGTGCACGCGTTCCTCGCCTGTCTCATCACAATCCTCCAATGTTTCTTCTACGAAAGGGATCAACAGACTGTTTCCACGAAATGCATCATTTTGATTATCGTTTTGATCACTTTCGGCTTCTGCTCCATCGTCGCCACCGTCCTCAACAAAATATCGATTTTGGCTTTTGTGACGAGCCTGTCTTATATTAACGAGGAAAGTGCAACCTGACTGTCGGAGAAACTATGATCACTTTCTGCAAACTTATCTCCGAAGAAGAAAGTGCAACCGACCTTTTCCGTGAAGGCCATACAAGTAACCGGAATGCCGGATAAGAACAGTATAAAAGAGAGCAGCAAGAAGCTGCAATATGCTTCCATTGCTTCCGCACTACCATTGCTATCTTCCAAGAATCAGAACCTAACTGTTACTATCTTCTCCCCAACTCCCCTTCCCACCGTCATCTTATATTTAATTTACTTTTAATTCTTTTCTTTCTATTCAATAAATCTTATACCATCGAATTGTACGCCTACTGAACCACCACAAACAATTCAAGCAAGAAGAACATCTTTGTCCTTCTTCACAGTTCTGGCGAGTTTTGCTCCTTCTATTTGAGCCGTTTTTCATGAGAGTCACCAATTAGTTTAAAGGCGCATGGAGGTCTCACTACGCTCTTCGTAAGATCTTACTGTAACAGTTTTCAGGCTCGTTGTAGCCGATTTTTGGCCAATCTAGGAGTTGTTTTTAGGCCAAACTGTATCGGTTTCAAGCCATTTTTAGGGCGTTTTTAGGCTAAATTAGGTGATTTTAAGGCTATTCTAAGGTCGATTTTTGGCCGATTTTCGGCCTTGAGATTCAATCGACTATAACTACCCAGGTAGTGAAGATAACAGAAAACTGTAAACTGTAAAAATGTGCACAAGTGTATACTCAACAACTTTGTAGTAGATCACTTTTCCGGAATCTGCCTGGTTCGAGAGATACAGGCCATTTTAGAGAGAAGGTGTAAATGCTTGGCTGAATGAGATTTTTGCCCCTATATACTCTAATATATACTCTAAGAGAGTGAGAGACGCAGAGAAAACGATTGTCTGCTTCTCTGGCGTTTCATCACTCTCTCACTCAGGGGCATAACTCGCTTCAAAGTTGAGCTAGAAACTTGGTTTCTGGACCATTCTGACTGTCTAAGCCTAGCTTTCCAACGATGCCAAATTCGGAATCCTAGGCCACGGTCCTGAAAAGTTAGGCCCCGCTTTCTGGATGATTTTCGGATCAATTAAAACAAATTTTTTTTGCAGATTCTGCGCCGAATCTTACCCACTTCCAGGTCCGCATGTGGCCAATCGGAAACAAAGTCCCCCTCTCCACCACTGGCCTCGTCGACGTCATCAAGATGGCCAGAAGTTGGAGAAAACGCGCACCAGACCGTCCGGAGACCAAGCCAATCATCGTCATGTCACAGTGAGTTTTTCCCTAATGCAATTGCGCTCCACTGATAATTTTTTTTTCTAGTAATGGAGTATCACGCGTCGGCATCTATATTGGCGCCAACATCTGCATTGATCAAATGGATATTGATCACGAAGTCGACGTCTTCCACGCAGTCAAAATGATGAGGATCAATAGACCACAGTTGATTGATATGAAGGTATGGAAATGCGCTCCACTGCAAATCCAAAATTTCAAAAATTTCAAATTTAGGACGAATACAAGTACCTATAATTTGCTCTGAAAACGATATAGGTAACTTCGGAAAGAAAAAACAAAAATATTTGACCTTGTCAAGGGTCGAACCCGGGTTGAAAAATTCTAAAGCAGCACCGCTAACCACTACACCACAACGACAGCAGATGCATACATCACTGAGGCAGAGAGAGAAGAAGGGAGGAGGAGAGAAGGCGGAAGTTTCCTGGTTGCCCTCTCTCCCTGCGCTGCTTGTTGCATGCGTGGCGCAGCGGTTAGCGCTTCTGTTTTAGAATTTTTCAACCCGGGTTCGACCCCCCGGTGGGGTCAAACTTTTTTTTCTTTTTTTTTTAAATTTCCCCCGCTTTCTAGAGGTCTAAAACTCACTCTAAAAGAGAACTCTCTAGAGAACTCCGTTCGACATTCAATAAGTGTTCACTGTTCCCTGCGGGCCGACCCATTTCTACAAAAAATACTGCTTCGTAATAAAATGTTTCAAACATTTTTTATGCAGCTTCAGTTTTCGTTTGTTTGTGATTTCTTTTTGATTGTTGCATATTAATTGAAATGAGATTCATAAATATTTCGAAAATACTCTGAGAATTCTGATAAAAATCTAACATTGACCCATCAAACGCGCTCTAATGACAGGTGCACCTGCCCTATTATACAAGTACAAGGGGCCCAACTGCATTCATCATTCATCCTTTCCTCGTCTCGACTAGGTCACACAACACACTCATTCATTCCATCAAACACATACCACACAACATCTTCTATCGATCTGACCTCTCCTCATTCAGTTTCTTTTCATTAACACAGATCAATGTCTCTCTCCCGTCCTATGAAGTTTCCATTGCTGAACCTTCCATTCCTTTGCATTGAAGAAGTTGTCAAAAGCTGGGATATTTTTGATATGTAAGTTTTTTATTTTCCGAATAATCCTCAAAACCTGTCAATTCTAGAATATTCTTTGCTGCCATCTCCCAGAAAACTCGTCGAATCGTTAAAAGTTTGAAGATTCCTCTGAGCGGAATTAAAGTAGGTGTACGATTCAATAAATGGATTGAGCTGGGCATGTGTAAAATATGGAGTTTCAAGAATAGTCTGGAATCGTTGTCCGACCTGTATTCGAAAAGACATCCCCTTGTGCTCGAAAAGAATACGATTCCATTGTCAACCAGGTAAGTTTTTGGGATTTCCAGAGTTTTTCAGTTTTCTTAGTCAAATTTTCTGGTAGAATATGGTTTTTGTACCAATGAATAAGGAATTTTTAAAGCTACTAATCCGTTTAAATGTGACATGGGTTTGTATCAGAAAAGGGATATCGAAAACTGGAAATTCTTCAATCTACCCTAGCTTTAAAATTCAAAAAATGTTTTTTCAGTAGAACGAATGATGCTCTCAACTCATACTCTGATGGAAATGAATTGATTGCTTTAAAAATGGCTATGGAATTTCTGACTGATGCTTTCAAGTGCTCAATTGAACATGTCTCCATTGAAATGCGCAACATCCCAGGAGATATTGGTGTTAAATCTACTGTAAATCTGTGTATTCATCATTATAGTTTCGAACCGTTTGGTTATACTCAAAGCCACAAACTGAGTTTATTGTTGGAGAATCTGGAAGTGACTGGCACATGCGATTTCTCGCTGCGAAGGACAGAACAGGGTTTCTATGTTGACCCGAAGCTATTCAAATGCAAAAAGTTGGTGTTTTGGCCTTCTTCGGCTAACTGGGTTACCCGGGAGACCCTTATGCAGTTTGCAGTTCCTCAATTGAAATTTGAAGATTGCCCGTTTTCTGTGCAAGATATCCTTTCATTTGTCATCCAATGGTTTCATTCTGACAACAAGAAACTTGAATATTTCCATATTGAATCATGTGGACAGATTTCTTTTGAGAAGTTCTTTCTAACGGTAGACTTGAATCCGTTGTTTTTTATAGGGAGAAACCGTGTTCCACTGTGAGTTTTGCTAATGCTTTGTCTCGGCTAATCTATTATCATTTTCAGAACAGAATCATTCAGATATATTGATTTTTCCAAGGGACTAGAAATCGTTCGTCGTGACGGCTTACAGGCAACTATTCATGTCACAGGAAGAGATTTTCTGCTCTATATCTGGCATCCTTAAAATGTGTTTACACAATTCCACCAATTTCAGTAATTTCTCATTTCTCCGCTCCTCTTTTTTTCTAGTGTTTCCTTCAAACCCTCAACATTCTTTCAGTTGAAATTCACAAAAAAAAAACACAAAGAGTATACATATCAAACTTTTTTAAAGCATTTAATATAAACATATATATTTGTGTCCTTGTCCCTCTACAAACAATGTTCTCAGTAATAATAATTCTTGATAAATGCAGCTGCCACTTTATGATTTCTTCTTGAATGTTTCATAATAATTGAATTGAGATTTAATAAATTATTTATTCTTAAGAGACTCTGTGAATTCTGATAAAAATCTAACATCTACTTCACGCCATCTTAACGCCACTGGAAATAGTTTGGCAAGACGGCTTTGTAGCAACCATTCATGTCAAGGGAAGATTTTTTTTCTTCGTCTGGAATAACCAATCTGCTATTACACAACACTAGACTGCCAAAAAAAAACGACGTCGATCACCGATGTGTCTACACGGGTTGATCCATTTCATTAATTTTTTTTTTCATTTTCCCAGATGCCTTTCAACATTCGATTTGTATTCACTTGTCCATACGGGTCGACCCATTTCTACAAAAAACATTGCTTTGTAGTAATAATTCTTAGCAAATTTTATGTAGACTCAATTCGTTTTTGCCTTTGATTTCTTCTCGATTGTTTTAAAATCATTTGAAATGAAATTTAATAAATATATTATTCTGAAGAAGTTCTGAAAAATTCTGATAAGAATCTAACAGATATTATCGTTGACTCATCAAATACGCTCTAATGACAGGTGCACCTGGCCTAATATACAAGTAAAAAGGGCCTGACTGCACACATCATTCCTCTTTTCTTCGTCTTGGCTAGGTTACTCAATACACTCATTCATTCCATCAAACACAGACCACACGACGTCTTCTTCTATCGATCTCTCCTCCTTACATTCAGTTTCTTTTCATAAACACTAAGCAATGTCTCTCTCCTGTCCGGTCCGATTTCCACTTCTCAAGCTCCCATTTCTCTGCATTGAAGCCGTTGTCAAAAGCTTGGATATTTTTGTGATGTAAGTCCACAATTTCAGACCCCCTTCATCCTAAAATCTAAATTTCAGAATCTTCTTCGCTCTCTCCTCCAGGAAAACCCGTCAAATTGTGAAACATTTGAAGATTCCTCTAAACGGAATCAAAATTTTCTTGTCATATAAGAAATGGATAAAGCTAGCCAGTTTGAATAATGATTGGTTTTTCGAGGAAGAAATGATTTGGTTTTTCGAGGACTATAATGAAGCGGATCCATTTTTTGATGAGCATCAATGTTCGAGAAGAAATCCCCTTGTGCTTCAAAACAATGCGGTTCCATTGTACACTAGGTAAGTCCAAAAAACCACCACAGAAATTCAAAATTGATTTTCAGTACAACCCACTATTCTCTCAAGTCATACACCGATGGGAATGAAGTGATTCCTTTAAAATTGGCGATGGAATTTTTAAATGAGGTGTTCAAGTGCTCAGTTGAAGAAGTCAACATTGATGGTGATAACTTCCCGGAATCAGGAGATATTGGTGTCCGTTCCGCTATGAACCTGCGTGTTACCGTTCCCTATATAAACTCACATGCGTTTGGTCAAATCCAAAACCTAAACCGAGAGCTGAATTTATTGCTAGAAAACCTGCAAGTGACTGGCACATGTAGTTTACATTTGAATAACAAAAAAAACGGTTTCTATGTTGACCCAAAACTTTTCAAATGCAAAAGATTGGTGTTTTCGATGGATTCAGGTGCCTGGGTCACCAGGGAGATCCTTCTACAGTTTGAAGTGCCTCAATTGAAATTCGAAGTTTGCCCGTTTTCTGTGGAAGATATCCTTTCATTTGTCATCCAATGGTTTCATTCTGACAATCAGAAACTGGAATATTTGTTCCTTACCATTCAAGACATGCAAATTTCCTTTGAGAATTTTCAAACGGAGGAGTTGAAACCGGTGCCATGTAGTGAGAGAAACCGTGCTCCATCGTAAGTTTAGCTGATATGTAATTTCAGCTAATTTAATAGAATTTTCAGAATATTTAGTCACATTGCTTTTTCCGAGGGGCTGGAAGTCGTTCGTCATGATGGCATGAAAGCAACTATTTATGTCAAAGGAAGGGATTTTCTATTCTGCATCTGGCATGACCAATAGGATGAATTACTGTGAAAATAATAGAGGGATATTTAGCTTTTTATTACAAAAATGAGTGGGTTTTTATGCATTGTTCCACTTTTTTTGGGAAATGAATTTTTTTTTAGCAATCCCAGATCGTAATCTGAAGATCAAAATCGATATTTTTTTTCCATGAAAATAATAACTAGTTGTATCAACTTATAAAAATTGTCAGCACAATCGGAATTTTCACAACAATTTTCAAAATGCTCCCAATTATCTATACTTCTCAAAAGAGTTACGCTTGTGCGCACGGTGCGTGAGGCGCCTTCTCCCCCTCTTTCCGCGTGCCTCATTTGAGATCTTTAATTCTAACTTACAGGCTCATCTGTCTTTCCGCGCGCGAAAGCGCAAAGACATCGATCTCGTCTAGCACATTGCAGGATCCGAGTTCGAGGACAATTGCGTTCTTTTTGAGTTTTTTTTTTTGTC